CTGCTCGTGCAGCCCATCACCAACCCCCTGCTCTACGGCCTCAACTTCCTGCTCTCGCCCCGTCCCCAGATCCAGCAAGTCCCCTGCCCAGGCAAGTGTTGGGTGCCGGTGGCTGCGCTGTGTGTGTGTAGCGCCGCCATGCAGCTGCTGCAATCTGTGTGGTGCACCTGTCATATGTTCACAGGAATGCGGTTGCGGTGGTGTGGATCCCACGCTCTTTTTGCTGGGGTGCAGGTTCCTATTTCGTGGACGGCGAGGAGGATGTGCTGCCCGACATACTGCTCACTGCTCCCGTCCTGCTGACGGGCAGCAGTCAAGATTGAAGCGGCTGTGCCGGCAAAGCCATCTGCTCGAGTGTATGATAGCCTGTAACAATTCATTCCTCCTCCTTTGCCAACATTTCAGCTTTCCTCAGAGACCTGCCCATGCATGCTGGCGCACCCTTGTCCCTGCGCCTCCGTAGTTGATCGCTGTTGTGTTGTCACTTTGTTGCATGAATGGTGGCAAACAACACTTGCTACTGATGAGAAGGATGAACACGCACACAAACTCTAAATGTGATCGATCGGATGCAAATGTCAACAAAGCAATTGTTGAAGAGGGGGGGTTCATTGCGTGGGGTGATGTAGTACAGCAGAGGGAGGAGGAAGCGGCGCAAGGGAGCGGAGCAGAGAGTGGAGCGGACTCAAAAACGTGGTGGCATGGGGAGCCTACAACAGGTAGTATACAGGCATGGGTGGCGCGGGCGGGCCTGGGGGTCTGAGAAGGCTGCCAGCACGCCGCAGCGCGCAGATCGCTGGATTTTACTTGTACCGCCGAAAGTTGCTGATGTGCTCGTCGGGGCTTATTGTGATGCGGGCCTCGATCGGCACGGCTGTGCCACCACCCGAGCAGCTGCTGCACATCATGCGGCGGCTGCCGCGGCACGTGCCGCAGCCGCGTGCGTCGCCGTCGCTCCAGCGCTTGCACCAGCACTCAACATAGCCCGTCCCGCCGCACGTCTCGCACTCCTTGCGTGCGCCGTCATCGGCCTGGCTCTGCAGCAAAGGCAGGGGAGGGAGACTCAGTGTGCGGCACACTGCACAAGCCCTTGTCATCCTGCTTCCCGCCCATCCTGCCGCCATCCGCCAGAAAGCCCAACCCCGGGCCCAATGCGTGCCCGGCAGGTCGCAGAGGAGTGCTGGTGGCGGAGCGGGGCGCACCTGCTGCTGAAGGAAGAGCTTGCCGGCGAAGAAGGCCACGCTCGACCAGGCGACAGCGGACGCCGCGTTGACCACAAAGCCAGCCGCTGAGGGTGCAGAGGCCGCCAGCAGGGCCCCGCCCAACGCGCTGACCCGCTGGGTTCTCCGGGCGGAGGGGGCTGCTGCAGGCCGCACCACGGGACCGCTCCTGCGGCCCGCCAGGCGCCCTCCTGGCACCGCCTGTCGACTGCCTAAGCTGCACTGGGCCGCGCTGGTCATACTGGAGGCTACTGGAGGCTTGGACCTTGAGGTGCCGTGTGGGTGCGTGCACTTCTACAACTGACAAGAGATGGGCTGTGCGGCGTGTGTGAAGCGAAAGAGGTGAATGGCTGCGTAGGAGGAAGCTGAGGGAGTAAGACCGCTCGGCTGTGCTGCGCATGCGAGACAGACGCATGTGCCTCCTGTGTTTTCCCTCTTCAGTCGAAAGATTGGCCCAGCGTGCGCGGTGATTGGACAGCTGATCGCAGAGGCCAAGCCGACAGGGTAACTTGTTGGCCTCTGGGCGGCAGAAGGCGCACGCCCGGCGGCAGCGGGCACACGCCAGTGGAGCCCCAACATGGGGCTTTCAAGGTGTAGGAATGTTGCGATGCACAGGGTACAGAAAATAAATTAAAGGCAGGAGACAGCCTTCCGCTGCGCTCAATCGCACCGCGGCCACGCCGCCCGCCCCTCGGCAATCTGCCGCACCAGGCCCGGCACCGCCACCTCGGGCGGCTCCTTGCCCGCAAACACGGTGGTGCCCGCCACCAGCGCGTTGGCCCCTGCCCGCGCCACCGAGCCGGCATTGTCCAGCGTGATGCCGCCGTCCACGATGATGTTGATGACGGGGAAGGCGCGGCGCAGTGCCGCCACCTTGGGAAGCACGCCCGGCTGGAACTTCTGGCCCCCAAACCCGGCGCGCACGCTGAGCAGCAGCACCGTGTCCACCTCCCCGGCAGCACACAGCGGGAACACGGCGTCGGGCGCGGTCTCGGGCGTCAGCGCGATGCCCGCCAGCATGCCCAGGCCGCGGGCGCGCCGGCACAGCGCGGCGGCTGTGTGGCAGCAGAAGTCGATGCCCGGGGCCTCGATGTGGAAGGTGAACTGGGCGCAGCCTGCACGCACGCATCGGGCGGCAAGGGAGGGGCGGCAGGGTGGTGAGGCGGGCGCGCGCTTGGGCCGAGGCGGGGTGCGGCCAGCGAGCGGGTGGTAACAGAGAGGAGGCCAGCCTCTGCATTTCAATGTGGCTGGCTGGCACTGGCCCCGCCCCGCCACACCACCCACCCGCCGCCGCCAGGTCCTCCACATAGTTCTCGGGGTGCACCACGCACAGGTGGCAGTCCAGGAAGGCCTGGGGCACGCTCTTGTGCAGGGACTTGACCTGCAGGCGGTGTGGCCAGCACATGCACGCAGGCATCAGCAAGTCTGCTGCAGGGGAGCACCGGGTGTGGCCGGGATAACATGACACACACACTGCACACGCACACCAGGCACCCAATCTGTGTTCTACCCCCGCCCTGCCCCTGCGCGCACCACGGGCGGGCCGATGGTCAGGTTGGGCACAAACACGCCGTCAAAGATGTCCACGTGCACCCACTCCGCCCCCGCCGCCACCACGCGCGCCACGTCACGCGCCAGGCTGGAGAAGTCTGCCGACAGGATGGAGGGCGACACAATGGAGTGCAGGTCTGCCCCATCCTGCTGACGCCCCTGCTGCTGCCCCTGCTCCTGTCCCTGCTGCCCCTGCTTCTGCGCCACATCCGGGGCGTCGGCTGCCGTGGGCGCCTGGGAGGCTGCCGCCGCCGCGGCGTGGAAGCCGGGCTTGAGCGCCGGGTACAGCGCCTTGTAGGCGCGGTAGTGGCGGCGGTACTCGGCATGGCGCTGCGGGTCCGGCTGTACCACGCGGTCCTGCAGGCGGGAGGGGGCGGTGCCGCACGGAGGACAAGAGGGTGTGAGCAGCAGGCGCTGTCGCTGGGTGTGCCTGCGGGCTGGCGTGTGCAGCTGGAGGCACAGATGCGGGCCCCAGGCCCCAGGCCAGAGAGGCAGGCATGATGCGGTGGCCGCCAGCTTGCCTGGTGCACCATGTGGGAGCAGGCGGTGGGCACATCCGGGTACAGCCCCGCAGCCACAGCCGCCAGGATGGCGGCGCCCAGCGCGGGCGCATCCGACACCTGCAGGCCCGGCAGCACCCCAGGGCCGCCACCTTCAGCCGCAGTCCAGAGCGAGGCGTGGCAGGCGCCGGCAGCTGCGGCTGTCGCTCAGTGCTCAGTGCTGCAGCAGCACACATCCTTAGCCGCCCAGCTGCCCCCTCCCCTCCTGCAGAGGCAGCGCCGCCCTCCGCAGGCGGCCAGCAGCAGCGCCCTACCTTTGTGAGGATGAAGGGCACATTGGATACGTCTGCGTGGATCTGCATCCACAGCGGCGAGCGCGTGGCGCCCCCCGCCACCGTCACCGAGGCGGGCGCGTATCCGTTGGCGCGCATCGTCTCAAAGATGTGCTCCGTGCCAAAGCAGATGCTCTCCAGCAGCGCGCGGAAGACGTGGCCGCGGCCATGGGCCAGTGTGAGGCCCGTGATGGCGCCGCGGCTCACAGCGTCGGTGTGCGGCGTGCGGTTGCCCTGCTGGTGTGCATGGGCGCGGGTGGGCGCGGGAGCCGGGGCCAGGCTTCCCGCGCACGAGCGCCTGGCATGCAGGCTGCCAGGCTATCAACCCACCCTGCTCTGCACGCAGCAGCCGCCGGCTGCCAAACAGCAGCCGTGCAGCTGGCAGCTGGAGGGATGGGCAAGGCCACCCCATCACACACACACACACACACACCTGGAAGTGGTCCAGGCACACCACCCCCTCGCAGCCAGGCGCCACCGCCTCCGCCTCGCGGTTCAGCGCCTCGTAGCCCTCCTCGCCCACCAGGCGCCGGTACCAGGCCACGGCGCTGCCGGTGCTGGTCTGGCCGCCCTCCACCTGCGCAGCGCCGCGGGCACGGTTGCAGACAGGTTGGCCGCCGGACAAGTGGGCAGGTCAGGGGAGGCTCGGCGACAGGTCGGCGCCGCCATGCGGGGCGGGAGGCAGCCAGGTGGTGCCAGCAGCGGCAGCGGCGGCGGCCAGCTGCGCACCACGTGCACGCCTGGCAGGAGCGCGTCTGGGTACACGCCCCACATGCCCTTGCCGTGGAACCTGCAGGCGGCAGCAGGCACGCAGCGGCACCTCAGTGCAACCAGCCCAGCCAGCATACATCCCAGCTGCCGTGCAAGTGCTGCAGGGCAGGCTGCTAACCAGCAGCCAGCCAGCCTGCCGCCTGCTTACACTTGGTCCGTCACTCCCAGGTGCAGGTGGCTGCTGCCTGTCAGCAGCGCCAGCTGGCCGGGCCGGATCACGCCCAGCCCGATCTGAAAATGGATGGAGGGAGCGCAGGGGTCTCAGACAAGCAGAAGACAGTTGTCAACCAATCAGAGCCACGAATGCAAACCCCCCACACACCACCTCCCCCACCGCTGCGTACCATGCCAATGTCGGCGTCTGCAGGCAGGGAGGCGGGCAGGCAGGGCGCATGCTGCTGAGCAGGAGGCCAACACGAGCGCTGCAGGCACCTGCGCACATATGCACACCCCCGGCACACCTCTGCATGCCCCCCTCCCCACCCCCCTGCCATCCAGCCCCTCACCCGCGCCTCCCTGTGCCACGACCACCCCCTGCGGCAGCCCCAGGTGCTCCGCCGCCGCCGCCGTCAGGCCGCCCACCACCGCCCCCAGCGGCAGCACCTCGGCGGGCCACTTGTGCAGCAGCGCCTCCAGGCCCAGCGTGCGCAGCATGCCCTCGGGCCAGCCCCCGGCGCGCCGCGTGCTGTAGTGCCAGCGTATGGATGCGTTGTTCAGGCTGGCCACCCACCGCCCGGTCAGGTGGAAGTTCACAAAGTCCTGCAGTGGGGGCAGCATCAGAGGTGGAGGCGAGGCAGGTGGGAGGGAGGGAGGCAGGCACCTGCACCATGCCGGGCGGCACTGCTGCAACGGCCCGCTGCGCGTCAGGCAGGGGCGGAGCCTGGGGAGGGATGGGTGCCTGCGCCAGGGCGCATGTGCCAGGCGTGCGGGCGGGGGTTCCACTTCCCACCTGATACTCACAGACCCCGGCCGCCGCCTCAAACACCTCGGGCTCGCTCTCCCGCAGCCACAGCACCTTTGGCACCATCCACTCCGCGCTGACGGGCCCCGCGCCGCCGCCGTTCACGCCCAGCGCCTCGTCGCCGCAGGCCGCCACCCTGGCCGCCTGCGCCGCGCTGCGCATGTCCATCCATAGCAGCGCTGGGCGCAGCGCCTGGCCGCGCGCATCCAGCGCCACCACGGTGCAGCAGGTGCTGTCCACGCTGAGGGCGGCCACCTGGCAGGGCTGGATGCTGGCTGACGCCACCGCCTGCCGCACCGCGGTGCCCAGCCCAGCCCACCAGTCTGCCGGGTCCTGCTCCGCCCACCCGGGCGCTGGGAAGGCGGTGGGGTAGGCGACGCTGGCAAAGGACAGCGGGGTGCCAGCCAGGTCAAACACGCCCGCCCTGATGGACTCGGTGCCGCCATCCACGCCTGCGGGCAAGGTGGGTGGGTGTGGACGCCAGCAATGGTGCTGGAAAGGAGCGAGGTGGGCGAGCAGCGAAAACTGGGCGGTGGGCGAGGGCGGCAGCGGCGGCGGCACGCTGCAGGGGCTGACCGCGCCACATCCGCAGATAACAAAGCGAGCGTGTTGAGTGTGCATACAATAGGAGCGTCGTAAATACACGGCCGAAGCACAATGAGGCGGGGAGTGACTTTGTGGCCGGGCAGTTCTCACCTATCACGTACTTCTTCTCCATCGAGGCCATGCTGAATGCGATCAGAAGAGGGAGAATCGAGTGCGGCCCAAGCACCATCCCCATCGTGCTGCGGTCGCCACAGCAGGTCATGTGTGCCAAATGCCCGATTGTGGCTGCCATCGGTCTATCCCGCTTGCCATCGGAACATCGGTACATCCGCCGACACCCCAGGACGACGTGGGAGAGCGACGAGAGATGCAGACCAGCGTGCACCACACCAGCCTTCGGGCTGCGCCTGCGACGCCCTTCAGGGCCTGCAAGACTCGTTTCAAGCCTGTCATGAAGGCCGCACCGCGCTGCGACAGCAGCAAATCACAGAACGGCGCCGCTGCCACCGCCGCCTCGCCCACCGCCGCTAGCAAGCGCCAGCTGCTGTCCCTGACAGCCGCGGGCGCCGCAGCCCTGGCTCTGGGCGTGGCGCCCAAGGCACTGGCCGAGGAGCCAGAGGTCGCTCTGCCCAGGGTGTTCTTCGACGTAAGCCTGCTTGAATGCGCGCATGCACTCTGCACTGGTGCCATGCGCTTCCATGCCAACCAATGATGCACGTTGCTTGGCTCTCTGGGTGCAGGTGAATGCAGGTAACAACCCCTGGCACTGCCAGTGACCAATTCTAGTTTGATGGCACTGTGCGCCACAACCAGGGGCTGGCAGAGGCGCGCTGGCGGTAGTAGGCGGCTCTCAGGGGTCGCACACGCATCCCAAATTCCCATTCCGGCTGCCTGCAGGCTCCACCCCGCTGGGCCGTGTCGTGATGGAGCTGCGGCCGGATGTGGTGCCCAGGACGGCGGAAAACTTCAGGTGGGGGGAAGGATGGGCGCCGTGGTGCTGGGAGCAGGGGACGCACGTGCTCCCCACCCGCCGTGGGTCCCGGTGCACATATGCTGGCTGGATGCCAATGCCGCACGCCCCGCCCTCTGCCGCCGCATGTGCCCCAGGGCGCTGTGCACCGGCGAGAAGGGCATCGGCCGCTCCGGCAAGCCGCTGCACTTCAAAGGCTCCTCCTTCCACCGCGTCATCCCGCAGTTTGTTTGCCAGGTAGGGCCCGGGCGGCTGCCTGGGCATGGCACAGAACCAGCCAGCAGCTGAGCAAGCGCCTAACGAAGACGCCCTGGTTGGTGGATGCTCTGCAGGGCGGGGACTTCACTCGCGGCAATGGCACGGGGGGCGAGTCCATCTACGGTAGGTGCCGGCACGTGTTGCTGCCCAAGACAGCCTGCTGCCAGTGCGGTGGTGGCCAGCAGTTGTGAACGCCAGGGGTGGGGTGCGCGTGCTTGTTGGCAGGCGGGCTGTGGGATGCATCCCTGTGCTCCAACCAACGGTCTGTGTCCGCCCTGAATGACCAATGGCGCAGGAAGCAAATTCAACGATGAGAACTTCCAGGCACGCACATGCCTGGGCGCAGCAGCATCATGTGCTCCTTGATGCCGGCATGCATGTGTCCCACGCTCTGGGTGCTGCCACCCGTGCAGTTGAAGCACACTGGCCCCGGGGTTCTGTCGATGGCCAACGCCGGCCCCAACACAAACGGCAGCCAGTTCTTCATCACCACGGTGGCCACCCCCTGGCTGTACGTGTGGCACCCAAGCCGTGCTGCGCTGCGCTGTGCCTGCCCTGCTTGCATGACATGTGCCGCCACCTTGCTGTGCCCCCCCGGCTCACAACTGCCTGCCTGCTCCGCCTCTGCAGGGACGGCAGGCATGTGGTGTTTGGCAGCGTGGTGGAGGGCATGGACGTGGTGAAGAAGATTGAGGGCTATGGTGGGGCCCTGCTTGACCCCCGCTTCCGCTTGTTTCTTGTTTGGCATGGGCAGATCCACACACATGCTGATGCCTCGCTGCTCCTCTGCTGCAGGCTCCCCCAACGGTCGCCCCGCCCAGCCCATCATCGTTGCCGACTGCGGCCAGCTCTAGTAGACAGCGAGGCGCCGTTGAGTTTAGTGTTTTGAGCGGCCAGACACGGGTGGCGTTGAGCACCTTGGATTCATCGGCGCCCTGGCACTGCACCTGTGACACCTTTGACTGTCAGCGAAGCGGCAAGTGAACATTCGGCGTGCGAGGGGCTGGCGCACAGAGTGATGGTGCCCGGCGGCGGAATGGAAGAGCGCAGACAGACAGTAAGAGCGAGCTGAAACAATGCTGACAAGGGGAGTACGTTGGGAGGCTGATGAGCGAGCTGGGTCACCCCGGCTTGTGCACCTTCACGGTCAGGACTAGCCGCACGCCGGTGCCCCACATCCGCCGCAGCTCCTTCTCTGCCGCCAGCATGACGCCGCCAATGGCCTCGCCGCTCCTGCCCACCACAATCACCTTCTGGCTGTCCTTGCGCACCACCACATCCATCTCGATGTGCACTGCATGGCGCAGGAGGGGGGCGCACGCGCACGCACGGCTGGTGGCTTGATGCGGCTCTCCTGTCACGCATGCATGTGGTTGGGCTGGTGCCGGCTGGGCATGTGGCACGGCCATGCAGGGCTACCCCTACAGGCACACGCGCGGCCACACCCGATCCGTCGGGCTGCGGCAGGCAGCTGGTCACGCGCAGGCTCGTCTCGTAGGGCACCTCCTTGTAGAGGCGCAGGAAGAGCTGCTCACGCACCACCTCCAGAGCCTGCAGGCACCAGCGGCAGCGCAGGGGTGGCGTGCAGTGCGGCAGCCTGCTGCCACGCCAGCTGTGGATGCTGCCGCGCCTGGCCGCACCGCTCGCGTCACTGCGCAGCGCGCCCCACCTGCTCCTCCTCGCCCCGGTCTGTGGCCATGCCCGCCCCCAGGGCCCACTCCCCAGGCGTGGCTCGGTCCAGCAGGAACTGGCGCAGCTCGGGCAGGCCCCGCCCTGCGGCCAGGCACGGAGCGGGATGCAGGGGGCGGCGCGTGGGTGGGCGGGTGGCTGGCTGGGTGGATGGGGGCAACGGCCTGCATGCATGCACTGCTTCTCCTGCGCCCAGCACTCTCTCAAGCGCGTCCAGCCCCAGCCCCGCCGCCCCCCCCCAGCGCGCCCACCATCCTTGGCGCTGACGAAGAACACATCCTCAAAGGGGCGCAGCGCCCGCAGCTTGTCGGCCAGCGGCAGCAGGCCGGCCCGCTGCGGCCGCGCGATCGCGTCGCACTTGTTCAGCACCAGCACGCCGGGCGGCGGGCGCCAGCCGGGCGGCATGCCGAGCCGGGCGCCGCTGGCGCTTTCCTCCACCAGGCGGTGCACGCGCGGGTCAGCCCGCTGCAGCTCCCGCGCCGCATCCACCAGCAGCAGCAGCAGGTCGCAGTCGGCGGCCACAGCCCAGGTGCCGCGCACGCGCTGCCGGTGCGCCGCATTCTTGTAGTGCCTGCCAGAGGGGGGAGAGGGGCGGAGGGGGCGGCTGGCAGTGGGCGGGTCCCCGCCACCTGGCGGCAGCTGGGCCATGCCGCGGCCGCATCCGCCGCGGCCACTCCACTCCAGCAAGCCGAGCTGCTGGGCTGCTGGCACTGCCCTCCCTGCGGCCCCACCCCCCAGCTCACAGCTTGTCCACCACGCCCGGCGTGTCGTACAGCACCACCTGGGAGGGCCCCTCGGTGAAGGCGCCCAGCCGTGGCCGCTCGGTGGTGTTGGTCTTGGGTGAGACGGCAGACACCTGGCGGGGAGGAGGGGGAAGCCAGGCTGGCGCCCCTTCAGCATCGGCGGCAGCAGCTGTGGGAAGCACGCCAGCCTGGCGCCTGCAGCTGGGCCGCCTGCTTGTGCGCGTGGTGTGAATGAAGCGGGCGCAGCTGTCCCCGCGGGGCGGCGGCCGCCGCTATACCTTGAAGCCGGCGAGAACGTTGACCAGCGTAGACTTGCCGGCGTTGGGCACGCCCATCACCCCCACCTGCAGCAGCCGCTGCTGCCCCACCGGGACGCCTTCGTCCGTGCCTTCCGCCGCTTCCAGCAGCTGCTCGTGCCTGTGCAGCTCAGCGCCTCCGCCCGCCGAGGCCAGCAGCGCCGAGTCGCGGCGGAGGTCGGCGAAGAACGCCGCCGCCGCCGGGTCCAGCTCACCATCGCTGTCGCTGTCGGACGCCGAGTGCAACCTGCACGCGCCCCAGGCGCTCAGCAGCGGCCGAAAGGCGCGCAGCTGCACCAGTTGCTCGGCGCAGCGGGCAGCATGTGCAAGCATGTCATATGGGCCTTGGGGCGGCGCAGATGGAATCGGCTGCTGATGCTGCAATCGGCACAGCCAGGGGGATGCAATGCCGAGCATTCATGCTCTGCCGTGCTCTGCTGCCACCTGGAGACTGGACACAAGGAGCTCCTCGCGCTCACAGTACGTCTTGGCAGGCATCCCACGTGCCTGAACACCGCTGTGCAGAGGCCTGAAGCGGCGCAGGGCGCATCACTCGGCATGGACCTGGTGCGGGGCTTGCTTGCCGTGCTGTGCTGGTGGAGCGCGGGCCGATCTACCGATCTTACAGCCAGATGTGCACCCGGCCCGCATCACCTCCCTCTGGCAAAGCATCAGGGCCGACCAGCCCCTCTTTGTTGCCTGCAGGACCGCCCCAGAGACCGCGACAGGGACAGGGACCGCAGCGAGCGGCGCAGGGACAAGGACGACGGCGACCGGAGGCGTGACGACCGCGACCGCGACCGCGACCGGCGGCGGCGGTCGCGCAGCCGCAGCCGCAGCCGCGACAGGCGCAGGCGCTCCAGGTGCGGGGGCTGGCTGCGGGCGGGCGGCCGGCGCACTGCGGCTGCTGCGCTGTGGCCCATGCAGCAGCCGCCAGCAAGGGGTGCATGCCCCGGCCGCCAGCGCCGACGTCCGCTCCCCCGCTGCCTGCTGCCGCCTGCTGCCTCGCACCCCCTGCCTCCCTCGCCCCTCCTCATCCCTGTCTCACACCCGCGCCCCGCATGCAGGTCTCGGTCGCGCGACCGCCGCCGCTCCCGCTCTCCCGACTACGACCCCGAGGGCCAGCGGCGGCGCCCCACCTGGTTTGACATCCCGCCCATCGGCGGCGCGCCGCCGCCCCTCACGCAGCTGCCCGGCGCGGTGCAGGTGTTCTCGGCGCCGGGCGGCGGCGGCGGCGGCGGCGGCGGCGGCGCCTTTGGCGGCGGCGGCGGCATGGCGGCCGCCAGCGCGGGCGCTGCCATGAGCCAGCAGGCCACCCGCCACGCGCGCCGCATCTACGTCGGCGGGCTGCCGCCCTCGGCCAACGAGCAGAACATCCAGACCTTCTTCTCAAAGCG